GCATCGCTACTAGTAACAAGTGCCTTACTAGTAGTAACAAGAAGCTATTAGAAACAATAATGAGCTCCATGGGTGACCCTCGGATCTGACAGGCCAAGGTCTAATATGGGGCATGTACTCATTGTAGACCCTTTCCCGCTAGGTAAAGTAGACCTTCAGAAGTAGCTTGAAACATGGTTGATATAGAATATGTTGTGCTTCCAGAGAGCTGGTTTTGGAACCATCACAAACCTGATGGAAGTTGAACAGAATATGGTGAAAGAGTACAAATTTTTGGAGGTCGTGAAGCGAAGTCTCAGATTCTGAAAACACAGTGCTGAGACAAGTCGTCACAATTCATGACAATTCGTGATTTGGACGAGTTTAAGTTCCAGTTTTCGGATCAATGACGGATCCTCAAAAGCCAGAGCGGGGGAGGGCGGGTAGGCCGCTAGAGGCAGGTGAGGTAGCTACTACTTAGCACGCAGGATAGCTCACGCTTCCTTGAAGAAGTGCTCGCACTAATGACTTGGCTCCTAGATGTCTCTTAAGTAACTGAACTTCCTTTGGTGCTCAGCATATGTTCAAAGTCATGCATAGCAGGCTGGAGTTCACACGACCATCCTGAGGAGGGCAAGTGTTGCATCAATCGAGCATGAAGACCTATCTCCCAGGTATGATTCAGTATAACTTCTGGATTGATGATGTGGCCAGTTTCGCTGCCGAACACCCAAAGCGAGTCCACTTGCCCTTTCTGCTCATCGCTGAAGTCGATCCTTCCAAGTCTCATCGGTCGCGTAAGTCTCGGAAGTGGCTCGTTGCAGTTTTAGCCATGGCATATCCCACGTTGTTGCGCCCGGGAGGAGACTCGACAGCGAACTGATAAAAAGCAAAACTATATGGACGTGGACTCTCTTGACGAAAACCTTTTTGACGATTTCGGATGTGGAGATTAGACAGGACTGTAATATAATGTGATTGCACTCTTTGCTTTTGGATTTGTTCATTGATTGCTTGCGCTGAACACGAGGACCTGCTGCCAATGCAGGTGCCGCTTCCTTCGCTGATGTCTTCCAAGTTCTTCAGGGCGTTTGTTGTGCAGAAAGCGTTGCCTCTTGGCTGATTGTAGTTGATTGCGCTCCACGTTAAGAGAGAGAAGGAGAGAGAACGTGCCAGTTTTTCACAGCCCAAAGAATGTCCTATGTCACCCATGTCCCATGTCCCCCAAAGCGGATGCATTTCATGGCTGTGCACAGGCGGAGACATGCAAGACTCCACACACCACTGCCAATTCCAGAACCATAATACTTGCACGATCGAACCATAATGATTCATACTTCCAAGCTCCCAAAGGGGGGGAAGACCGACACCGCTCATCACTGCTTTGAGGACTCCTCTTGCCAGTGCCACAGGGAAGTGCTTGGTGACGAACGGCAAAAAGCGTCCCGCGAATGCGAAAGCGGCAAAACGATCCACGTGCAAGGTTCCTTTTCCTGGATTTGATTCCAAGCAACACGACGAAAAGCCATCCGTTTTTGATAGCTTTCACTGTGCCAACTGGTTTTGGTCAGCATATTAAATCTTGTTGGTCATAGCCCTCAGCTTAGCACAAGTGCCAAAGAGGATGGAAGGCATTAAAGCATTCCTTTGCATTCCTTTGCCATTTCTCCTAATGGATTCTTGAGGTCGCCCAACTTGGCTCTTTCGTTCAGATCCATCACTGGATTTGGGAACATTTTGTTTGGCCTTGCATTTGACCGCTTGAAGAAGTCTTTTTGGAGGAGAACCGACTGACAGGCTACACACCGTTCAATTACTCGGGCCTCCCTTTCACCAAGGTTCTTTGGGCAACAGTTCATTGCCTTCACCATACGGATACCTTGATCCTCAGGGTGTGTGCATTCGTGTTTTTTGCTTTTATGTAAACAGTCAGATCAGGAGCCTCTCCAGAACCGCATCTGTAGGGTGCTCAACTCTGTGTGACTCTTTCAGGCATCGTGTTCTTTTGTATTTTTAGCCTCTCACGAATCAAGCTACTACGCAGGATACCTGACGCTTCTTAAAGGAAGCTCCCCCCAGCCATCTAGGCCCAAAACCTTTTGGCTTACGCCCCCGCGCAAGGGCCGGGGTCCAGCTGCTCGCCACTCTGTGAGGCGAGGGTTGGACGTCCACTGACCTGGTGCTCACCAAGCATCGGGATTGCCATGGAAACTAAGGAGATGAAGAAAACAGCAGGTCAACATGCTGTGGAAGGGCTCATTCAATGGACAACTATGGGGATGCCTTCGACGCTTGCACTCACTGTTGCTGAAGCTCTACGAGGCATAGCCCAAACTGGCGAATGTGGCCGTGCTGATGACGAATGGGTCCTCTTTGGAGAGGTACTTGAGGTGCAACTTGGGTCGCCCTCCCGGACTAAAGTGCGCCGTACCTCGATGTTGCTGCAAAAAGATGAGTCTTTGGATCACAGTTGGCCCACCTTTGACCTCCTGTGCACTGTGGAGCACTGCAAAGTGGACTTTTCTCCAGGAATGTGGATTGGTTTGGTGGTCAAGCCTCATCAACGACATGATGATGCATGTGTAGTGGCTGATGAAACGGTGCCTGTTTGGAACATTCCTGCCTACCATAGCAGTCTTGCGTGGCAAGTTTCTCACCTTTTTTGTGGTGCTTATGAAGGTTGGTTGCGTGCAATGTGGTGGCTTCAAAATGCCAACTTAGGCTTTGCATTTGCCTCACATGTTTCGGTTGACTGGTGCCCAGAAGTGATGAAGACATGGAGCTACAATCATAGGCAAGAGGTCTTGACTTGTCCTATTCGAGTGGATTTCAACCCCACTGGGACGTATGTTGGAATTCGGGCCGATATCAATGATGTCACGCTGCTGCGAGCCACTTCTAGCAAATCCAACCTTCTCATGACTTTGTCTCCGCCATGTCCCAGCTGGAGCAGAGGTGGCAAGAATTCTGGCCTTGCTGCGGATGAAGGCTTTTGTTTCTTGGACGCTATCGTGCATGTGGCCAGAGTTCGACCGATTCTGGCGCTTTTTGAATGTTCGGATGGCCTTGAGGCCCATCCTCATTGGCGTGTCCTCTCAGCCGCTATGCAGCTTGCTGGCTACCAGCGTTTGTGGTCTCAAGATGTGGCTATGCATCAGCTTACAGGCAACCACAGAACTAGATGGCTGGCAGTTTGGTCCAGACATGATGTCACTGGACATAAGTCAAGTGAACGCCTCCTCTGTGCAACTAGCCGACGAGCCTTGTGGAATGACCAAAAGCATTGTTTCACTCTGCCTCAATCGCTGGTTGTTGCCCTTACACTGGATGAAGCTCTTTTGCAGATCTATGGTAGCAAGGACCTTCTTCCCCCGACGAAGAAGACACGTGTGATGGAAGGTGCCTCCAACCTCCAAGTCTTGCTTCAGAGAACGCTGCAAAGTGGGGAGTATCTACCTACCCTGTGTGCTTCGTACACTGCGCAGCATCTTCTTCAAGCAGAACATGTGCAATCCAAAGGAATCTTTGCTACCTCGCTCCAGGAGAATGATGGGTTTCGCTTTATCGATCCTTTTGCGTATGCATCTCTCTTTGGGACTACCTCGACCTTGGCCTTGCCTGGCGATCTGCGCACAGCATTCCATCAGCTGGGAAATGCAATATCACAGTTGCATGCATTGGTTGCTATTCTCTTCGCCATGGAAGGAGTCTCTGGAGAAGTGCTTCCTAAGCTGGCTCTTGTGATGCAATGTTGGGAGGAACGGCTCACTACTGATAATGCGATTGTACGAGTTGTTGATGGGATGTATGTCCTTCAACCCATTGCGGACGTCGTTGGGAAGGCCATTCCGAGTCTTCTTACGTGGCAGCCTTGGTTGGCAGGATGCACTTTGGTGCGCTTCTGTGATGATTGTACTCTCTTGCCGATCAACAAAAATGAGGAGACAGGTGTTCTCTCTGCTCTGCTCCAGGCTTTGGAATTGGAACCCTCGCATTTGCATCTCCTTGTGCTCAGTAGTGACGGACATGACCTGCCAAAAAATCTGACATGGGGCCAGCTTCCAGTTGGAAACCTCACTCTCAAGTGTGGCTCCTTTGATCTTGGGAATATTGCGGTCCACCGTGCTGGACTTGGAAATACTGCGGATCCCATTGTTTCCCCCACACAACAGTGGGGTGAACACGATGAAGACGTTGAACAGGACTGTTTGCTGGAGGCACACCTCAATGGATTTCTCCATGTCATTGAATATGTCTGCCAGGATCAGCAACCAAGGTTGACTACCAGAGTTCTGTTGCTCCAGCAAGATGGTTCGTATAATTGGGTCCAGCATGCCAATGTGGACCGACTTGGCTCCATTCCGACCTTTCAGTGTGGTGATCAGTGCTTGCACTTTGTCAAGGTCAACCAGGAGGCGTGCCGAACTCTTCTAGGTGTTCAAGTTATTCTGGCAATTCATGGCCCATACGAGCCAGTCAGTACTCACAAGTGGATTCTCCTGGCTGGTGGGAATGACCTCAAATGGTTAAAGATTTGCAACATGCCCCGCAACTTGACTCCCATCCAATGTTCGACTCAGCTTGAACAAACAGGTGCCATTACTATGCGGAATGCTCTTGAATGCCGGGCGGATCAACCCTTGATGCTCATCAATGGGGATGTCCTATGGTGTGATGCTCGTCCCGCAAGAGCAGCTCAGGTGTCTCTTGGTGGCATGGACCACCTTGCGGAGAATCCTGGTTGTAACATACATGATGACCATGTCATGGCTCGCCTTTTGCAATTCAACCTTGAGCCAGGAGCC